AGTGTGGTCCCGTCCCGGTCAAAACAGTGCAGTATATTGCAGTAAACCTGTAAACCTTTTTATCGGAGCTCTAGTCACTGATCATAAAAATACAGTAGCATGAAGCTGCTATTTTCTAAAGCTGCAGTATTCTGTAAGAGCGTAGTCCTTCGCAGATGACTTATTCTTGATGCAGACTAACACCTATAAAATTTTTAATAGAAGATAGTATAATTTATAATTTAAAAGCAAACTCTATTTGAAGCAAGACAAACGTTGTTATTACTTGTAATAATAAATAAATTTCTAACTAGTAATAATAAATTTCTATTTTAAGTTTGTCCCTGTTAATAAATTATTTACGGTGATGATGAAAATCTTGGAAACTTCTGACAGAAGTCTTCACGCCTTCCGCTAATGAAGCTGGAAGTAAATTACATTCAAATCCGAAAGAAGTACCTTCGTTAGGACCCGAAATTCAGCAATTCTCGTGAAATATGAATATAAGTTATATAAAGACGGGAATTTGAACTCTGTACCCCGACACTTAAGAATCAGGTACACTGATAGCTGAACATAACGAGTGTAATTTTGTTTTAGTTTATTTTTAGTACTCGTCACATACATGGAAGCGGCGCGTTATAATCACAATATGATGCTTTGCTCTGAAGAAATTTTTTTCCAACCCTTGTTTTATTCCCTTTTCGCCTCTCACGACGCCCGAGGGACGATATGGAGTGATGGATCCTTATTGTTTTGTTTGTCTCTGTGTCGCACTTTGAAACAGTATTCTCCAAAACATATCAAGGAACGTATAATTTACTTTAACTGTGATTTACAGATTACTGGTTTGCCTCGGCGGTGTAAAACTTGGTAAAGAAGAGGCGACTGTTGGAAATGTCAGAAAGCTCTTTTTTAATAGAATAAGGGTAACAAACGAGTACACAGTCCATCTGGCTAGAGCCCATAGAAATCTACATTTATCCTCAATTAAGAATCACACTGCAGATGCGTTGTCACCCCTGAGGACTAAGATAGAAAGCCTCGGTTGCAGTAAAAATTTTCTACGGTCCTCTGCACTCACCATACGAAACACAGCAGCATTAAGCTGCAATTTTACGCTGGTATTTTGTTAGAGCGTGGTCCTACACCGATTTAGCCAACCTATTCGTGTTACAATCATAATGCTGCAGCATTGCTCTACCACGTCCAACTTTATAATAAAGATAGGACTTTGTTTATTATTACTGTATATTACCTATCACTTAACAAACAATCTTAATCTATATATAATTTTAAAAACCATTGTTAACCAACAGTTCTATCTATCACTGGCTTTTGAAATGGATTGATTGTGTATAGGTATACAACGAATACATTTTTGTGTTTGCGTTTTTCACTAAGAAAGAAATTCTAAAAGTATAGTTCGTGAGAACTTCTCCCTAAATTTTTTTGACGCTTAACAACTGAGACTTACGCCTTCAACTGAGAGTTAAAAGGCCGACAACGCATGTGCAATATCGCTCAACGCTCATATGGCTTCCGTTCGATGATAGAATAACTGGCACCTGCATCAAATGTGCGAGACGTCTGGTGTTGCTGTCGTCAATCCCGCTGCCAAGAGTGACTATTAAGGCTAAACCTCCCTACAAAGAGAGAGCCCCGTGCCCAACCGTGGACTTTAGCGGGCTTATAAACGTCACGTGTTTGTCTTTTCGACATCGGTAGGACCAGCGTTTTAAAATAATTAACTTTTATCTCTTTAAAACAGCCAACATGATAGCACGCAGGTTTGCTCGTTGCACAACAGAAGTTAAGATTACGCTGTTTAAAGCTTACTGTACATCCCTCTACACGTGAAGTCTCCGCGTGAATTACTCTCAACAGCAGTACAGAGCCCTACGTACAATAATGCGTTTCAGGTGCTAATGGGGCTGCCTCGTTTCTGCAGTGCATCGGGGATGTTCGCTGAAACGCTAGTGGATTGCTTCTACGCGATCATACGCAAACGTTGTACATCCCTAGTGCGTAGGATTCGGGCCATTGACTGTCAATACCTGAACCATTGTTGTATGGTTCACGTACTGGCAAATAAATAGTTCTAACATTTATTGATTTCGGGTTGAAATATTTTTATTTATTGATTTATTATTACTCAATATTATACAACTTTTCTTTATTATTATTGTGGGGTATCTATATAGCTTTCTCATCTGGTTGGGTTCTATAAATATATAATTATAAATGAAAATGAAAAGATAAATATACATAAATATCAATAACATAAAATAAATATAAAAATACTTAAATAAATAAAAGCCCAACCAGATGGAGGCCCTCGGCAGGGGAGACCAAACGGCCGAGGGTTAGGGGGAAAGGGAAAGAAACCGGCTCGGTTTCCCCGAAGAGATCACCAAAGCGTAGCCAGTGGAGGGAGGCTACTGTGTCTACGAAAGGCTCATGTAGAGCCTTGTAGAACCTCCCGTGGAGCTCCTTCTCCTTCCATACGGTCTCCCGGTCGGAAATGCTCTGCACTGCCGGGTCTTGCGATTGCTCGTTGGCTAAGGATAGAGGGGTAAGTCCTTTATCACAAGAAATGACGTCCTTATAGAATGGATCATCAGATCTCGCCAGGAAGTAATCACGGAGGCTGCACACTTCGCGATTATGCATGGTGAGCGCGCTCAAGAAGCCACCCCATGCTTCCGCGACAAGTACAGCCTCCATACCGACGATCTTAAATGATGCATCCTATGGGACGTCATGGTAGTGCGGACTTTTCTATCCAGGGCGTTAAGTTCAGTCTGAGTCCACCTGAGTATGCCAAAGGTATACATGAGGACAGGCATGACCCAGCCGTTATATGCGTGTGCCTTATTCACACCGGACAAAAGGCTGTTAAGCACTTTGGTCAAGCGTGCATAAAACACGTCGCAAACTGACTGTTTCATACCAGTCTCATCGATACCGATGTTTTGTGACATACCCAGGTATCGGTATGTTTCAGCCTCGGAAAGGGTCCTTAAGTTGACGGGCATAGATAACTCTACGCCCTCAGAGTTAGCAACCCTTCCCCTTTCAACATGGAGGACCGCACACTTATCCGTCCCAAGCTCCATTCCAATGGAATTGCTAAATTCACAAGTGATGTTTAGCAATTCCATAAGATGGGAGCGACTGGAGGCGAATGACTTGAGGTCATCCATATAGAAAAAGGTGGGTCACTTTTGTCCGTCCTTTCCGTAGCTGAAATCCCCCTCCCGGAGCCCTCCAGTAAGGTACTGAGAGGGTTCAGAGAGAGGCAGAACCAGATTGGACTCAGACAATCGCCCTGGAAGATACCCCTTCTTATCCTTATGTGGTTCTCCGCAGCCGTCATCCGCTCGCCCAGATGACAAAGGATCGTACTCCACTGCCCCATACACTGCTCGAGGAAGTCTCTAACTGTACAGTCTATCTTGTACAGCTCGAGGACTCTCTTTAGCCATGTATGGGGCACCGAGTCGAATGCCTTTCTGTAGTCTATCCAGGCGGCGGAGAAGTTCCGACGGTTGCGTTTCACCACTTTGCCAATGACCGCGTCAATGAGGAGTGGTTCCTTGGTTCCACGACCACCGCCCCGACATCCATTTTGAGCGCGCGACATCACCTGATTTGAGTCCAGGTGACAAGTGATTCTCGCGCTCAAAATGGATGTTAGTGTCTTGTATATGGTCGGTAGACACGTGATGGGGCGGTATTTGCTCGGGTCTGTGGTACCCTGGTCTTTAGGAACCAAATGAGTGATCCCAGTAGTGAAGAGGCTTGGGAGCGACTTCTGGTTGAGAGCCTCTTGAAACTGTCGGGCGAACACAGAGTGACACACCATGAACCCCTTCAGCCAGTAGTGATGCAGCCCGTCAAGCCCCGGACTTTTCCAGTTCGGGGCCCTACGGACCGCCTCAGCTACGTCATCCGGCGTTATGATGACGGGGTCCATGGGCGTAATACCCGCACACTGACTCGCCACAACTTCCGTCCAAGGGCCCTCGCTGTGGTTTACGGGCTCTGACCACAGGCTGCGCCAGAATGCTAAAGTGTCGGCCTGATTCGGTGCTGGACCCGTTCCACTTACCATTGGTCGCTCCAATGATTCATAGAGCCTCTTCTGATCGCTCTGAAAGAGACGGTTCTGGTTGAACCGTGTCGACCTCTCGGTATATCGCTGAATCCGCTTTCCCCAAGCAGCGATTCTCTGCTTCAGATCATCTATGCGCTCCGTCAGTTTTTGCGTTATATCCGGCTGGGACAAACTGACATTTGTCCCAGCAAACGCCATCCTGACGGTGCGCACAATTCTTGGCCTGTTGTTGTCTGATCTGAAGCATATCAGTCTGCCGATGAGAGCTCTAGCCTTTGCGATACGTTCCTCAATTCTTCTTCTCCATGCTGGGATAGCGCTACTATGGCCAGTAGCGCGTCCAGCCGTGGAAACCTTGGCGCCTATGATACGGCAGACTGCCAGCGCGGCGCCAAAAAGAATTGAGTCCGTCTCGCAAAGGTCCCGGCTGGCTTCCAAATAGGTCACCAGCATTGGATTCAGAGCCCTCACGACAGCCCGATTCCGCTTGCTTAGGGCTATGCGGGGAAGTCGCGGTCGATTTTCGAGAGGCGTACTGCGCGTTTCCACAATCGCCTCTTCCAATGTACTCCTCATATGCTCTAATTCCAGTTCCTGGGCGACTGTTCCATCATCGCTTGAATCAACCACAACTGGGGTATTCACGGCGGCATCCACGTTTGCGGGTTGCTCTACCATTTGTGGCGCCGCATCCTCAGCCGTAGCATTCTCATCCGAAGAGGGAACAGCCTCACGTCGTAGCCGTTCGAGTTCGGCGACATCAAATATATTTGAGCGCAAGATATACCGAACTCGGTCTGCCAGGTTTTGCTCTGTGACGGTTAAAGATGGCTCCAGCTCAGCAAAAAGACGATGCATCCTAGCCCGATACGCCAAACATCCAGTTTCTCCCCCTTTCGCCCTAAAATACGCCCGCAATGCGTTGCTGTTCATCTGGGTTGTCCAACGCATGCGGCGTACTCCACCAGAGGCGGGTGCCGATTGCTGGGCCCGCGAAGACCCTGCCGACACCAAGCCAGCTGGTGGGGATGATAGATGCGAGGGGCTGCTGGGTGGTCGCGCCCTGACGACCTCCAGGCAGCGGCCCTTTGCGCGTTCTATTTAATTCCATCAT